TTTTTCTGTAATACAAAAAATACACAAGAGAAATACAAAAATACAGTGAAACCTCATTAGTAAAAATACCTGCTTGTAACATATGTAACTTTTCTGAAAACCTGAGTCAAATTTATTATATCAAACTACTTTATTAAAAATATCTGGGTATAACATTTTGAAACCTTAGTCCTGAGGGATTCTTAATACACAGGTCTCACTCTAAATAAATCAAAGAGCTTTTCCCAAATGGGTCTACCAATTTGATTGGGAGGTAGGAGTGGGAGCAATAGTGGAAACAGAAGGACCAACATCAAACTGAACCATTTGTTGAACACTTGGTGCTTGAACAGTGAGAATTTGGTACTGAGGTACAACAGTTTGCAGCAAAGAATCAGTAAAGTGAATTATTTGTGGATTAGGCTCATTTGGATTTAATTCAACTATTTGAGTGTCTTTTCCCAAATCTTCAATTTGATGAACAATTAAATTACTTCCCTCTTCCAAGATAGTCACAGGAAACTGGCTTAAATCATCTCTAATGAGAAGCGCCTGAAAAATAAAATTAGATTAAAATTCATTTAAAATTTAAAGATTAAAAATAAAAGAGGATTCAAAATAAAAATTGTTACTTGTGATTCTATAGATGGAGCACTTGTAATATTAGCGTTTGATTGAACTTCTGTAGGTATATGGTGAGTTCTACGATGTTTGTTCAATTCCTTCCGGGTATGGAAAGGCCAGTTACAGTCCACACATAAAAATGTTTGCTTTGCAGATGAATGGGTATGTTGGTGCTTAAGCATATCATTCTTTTGTGAGAATCTCCGACCACATATATCACAGCAGAATGGTTTCTCCCCAGTGTGGGTTCGCATGTGCACTAACAAAATACCTTTCCTCTTAAATCTTTTAGGGCAATGCTCACATGCCCAGGGTCGGTTATCACTGTGTGTCTGTAAGGCAGATCAAAATAATTTATTCACATTTTCAAGAAAACCTAATACTTACTTCAAAAATGACTTAAGATCCACTTACATTGAGATGCTGAGCAAGATTACTGGAACACCGGAAACTCATTTTGCACTCAGAACATGAGTATGGCTTCTCACCAGTGTGAATTCTTTCATGGACTGTGCAAGCTTCACGAGCTACAAATGACTCAGAACAGTACTGACATGAAAATGGACGTTCTTGTGTATGAAAACAGCGCATGTGGTAATCCAGTGTTCTGCGGTTGGAAAGCAGCTTATTGCAAATCTATTTGAAAAAACAAGTGATAAAAGTTTATTTTTAAAATTTCATTAGATTTAAAAATATATATAAAAGAGTGAAAATAATAACCAGGGTACAGCAATTTGTACTACTTACCTCACACTCAAATTTTATATCAGAATGTGATTTTGTATGCTCATCTAAATCACTGACACTTGAAAACAACTTCTCACACTTGGAACATGAGAATTCTCCGTTTTCTAACGGTGTAAAAGACTCCTTCTCTGTGTGTTCTCGTCTATGTTGCACCACTTCACTTAGGCTTTGAAAGGATTCCTTACAAACCTTGCAACAGAATGATGTACAGGGAAAAATTAAAAGAGAATCCAACACTTACAGCAGCTAAATGGTATGATAAGAAATTTAGCTTCAGTCTTCAATACCTTACAAACAAATTTCCGCTCTTTTGAATGTCTTTTCATATGTTGAGTCATGTTACCTCTTCGGTTAAAACACACGCCACACTGTGGACATTCATATGAACTCTCACTGTTATGTATAATTCGATGTTGACGCAGTTGAATCCTGCGATGGAATTTCTTTCCACATACACCACAAGCATAAGGAGTTGCATTCAGGTGAACATTAGCATGTTCACTCAGCTGAAATCTAGAAATGGAAGAGTCAAATAATTCTAAAGGCAGTACTCATGTGTCAGTGTGATGCTCAAATCAAATCCCATATTGTAAAAGAACTCTTTGAGTAGACAAATACAGTAATACCTAGATGGAAATGTTTTAGGACATTTGTCACAACTAAAACGATGAGTGAGTTTCCCTTCTACATGTGATCTTTTGTGACATCGTAAATTAGAACCATGTTTGAAACTTTTCCCACAAATATCACAGAGGTAAGGCGTTTCGTTGGAATGTGTTGCACGATGTATATCGAGACCTGAAAACAATATAACAAATTTAGAGACAAAACCATAGAAACTGAAGCTCACCTTGCTGAAGCTGCTTTTTTAAAATAAAAAGTCACATCTAATAAAATTAACTGCAAAACTTACTCCCAGCAAGGCGATATGACTTATCACATCTATCACAGTTGTACTTAGGCTCTTCCTCTACATTGTGAGCACATTTTACATGTGCCCGAAGCTTTTTGTACGTAGAAAACTTTTCATTACATAATGAACATGAACGAGGGTCTGATTGTTTTTCGGTTGATAATTTTGTATGCAGCAGGGTGTGTTTCTTTAATTTAGCTTCTGAACCAAAACATTTATCACAGTATCCACAAATGTATTCCAATTTTTCTGCAACTGCATCATCTAGTTTATTATCTGGAATTTCATCATTTTCTCTTTTATGTTTATTTTGCACATGCAATGCGAGTGAAGTTTGTCGTGAAGCTTTATAATCACATTCTGAGCAGCTCCATGGTCTGAAAAATGAACGTTCCACAATTTCAGCAGGTAATAATTCAAAACCAAAACAATATTTCCCCGAACAAAGTGGGATCCACACCTCTTTTCAGTTTCTTCACTTGGTATAATTGTTTGTTGGGCGTCAGCTACACTATTGGTAGGAAATGATGATTCCAATGCCTGCAGCTTTGGCTTTTTAGTTATCCTTGTAATGGCATCATTATCTTCAGCTCTTCCATCTTTTATAATACAGCAGTTATCTGTTGGCATGTCCAGCTGGGCCTTGGGCAAGAAAACAGCTTGTGAGTATGTTTTATCTTAGATGGTGGAATTTGTAGTGTCCACCTTTCAATTAATGAGGGTGACAAGCATTCTCACCAACATCAGGCTCATAGCTTTGAGTTTGGCATCTCCTGCTACACTTATATTAAATAATTCATAAGAAGTCTGTAGTTTTGAAGCACAAGAATTGCATATTTGTTGAGGAAGTCCATCATTTTCAGAAATCTGCAAAATAATAATGAAAATCATTAACATTTTGTGGTCAGGTGCGAAGGACACGTTAAGTCCCCTGCTACCCCTTTACCTTAATTGGAAGGCAATGGTGAATTTTATCAACAAGGCTGAGGGCTAATCCCTCATTGCTGAACACCAATATACAATTGTCAGTTTCTTTTGCACAAATACGGCACATATCTTGGTATTTTTCGCACTGTAAGGTTTTCTCGGTGAAGAATGACGCTTCTGGAATATTTGCTGAGTCAGCATTAATAACAGATGTCATCTGAGTCTCTAAATTGTTAAAGTCTGATGTATTTACATCATTTTCTGCAGTAATGTAAAGAATCTGAGGTTCCCCTGATTCACATGAATGTGCAACAATATCATTGTCTTTTGGTACTAAAGTTTCAGAAGGAAAATCTGAAAACTGTGTAGTCTTGACATCTCCCACAGAGGAATTTTTGGAACCACCGTACAAAGGAGGATTAAATTCAACAGAAACGTTCCGAAGGTTTCCTTGAAAAATGTCAGTATTTGAAAAAGATGATGATTGTATATTGTTGGAAACATTATTTACTACACACACTCCCACAGGAGGTGGATGTGAATGGCAATTCTCCATCGTTTAATGGCTCCAATTACCGCTCGGGCAGAAGAAACTCCTGAAATCAAGATTAGATAGTTAGGTAAAAGAACGGATTGACTTGCAAAGTATTTAAAACACACGCAAAAGATTATTATTAAGTGTACACTTAACCTACTACGACTGCAAGACATCAACGAAGTACTATGACAGTATGATATGACAAATACGATATTTAAAAACGTATCAAATACAATCCATCACATAGAGTTCCCTTCGGAAAACGTTAAAACGTTACAAGTTGCACATTTTAATGTTTGCGGACCAAATAGTCAATTTCAAATTTAGCGCCCTTTCAGACTTCTCATCTCATTGTGCGACTTCACTCTCTAACCCAAAGGGCATCGGACATCCCTTGAAGTAAGTAACTTTCGTTTATCACGTCGTAACGTTATAATCTGCTGTCCCGTACTTTTTGATTTAAAAAAATTGTCAATTTTTGAGTGTAGGCAGCAATTTTACAGAAATTCAAGTGTTGTACTAGTCAGAGTGCGATTTATACAGAACCTAGACAGAACGGAGTTTGGGTTGGAGAGTAGTAGGTGGTGGAACAACTCCATGGTGGAACAGCTGTCATCACATCAGTGCGAAGATCGCTGCAGCCCACTGAAGTTCTGTCGGTCGCGTGTGACTCAAGTCCGGACAAGTCTTTTCACGTTCGTCTTATAAAGGTGAGTTTGGTGTGATGGTGCGAACAAATTTTCACTTCCAGCCCCTTTGCTAATAGAAAAGTAAGATTGCAAACTCTTGGCTTGTTTATCTTGGGCGCAAAGCTCAACATTTTTGTGTCAAAGCCAGGACGGCCAGGACCACCCCATTCTTGCGTCATTTCCTTTGTTCACTCTCTGCATCTAAAACTCTTTAATCGTTCATTCCGACTGCATTTTGTGTCCTGGATAAATCAAAGTGAGCGATCCTTTCTTCGAAAACTGCTAAAATTGTACTTAAATTCCCCACATGTGCCCAAAATATTGTAAATAGACATCTCCCCATTTGACCTATATTTTGTCTAACGTGACTGCGTGACGAAAGGGGCTTCAGTAACTCTAAGAATTGCTTTAAACTCACTTTCTTAATTTTATCATCGCCAGTTTCTCAGTAGTATTGTTAAAGTAAGTCTAAATTTCATCGTCCATATTAATAAATATGTCTTTCCAGATCTCATCTACAATGCAGATCTTTGTGAAAACCCTCACTGGGAAAACTATCACCTTAGAGGTTGAACCCTCAGACTCTATTGAGAACGTCAAAGCCAAAATTCAGGACAAGGAAGGAATCCCCCCAGACCAGCAGCGTCTTATTTTTGCTGGAAAGCAGCTTGAGGATGGGCGCACACTGTCAGACTACAACATTCAAAAAGGTATTGTGAAATGTGACAGATGGTGTGTTTTTATTTGCCTATTTTCTCTCATGTTTGTTTGTTTTATCTAACTTATACCCATCTTCATTTCCAGAATCAACTCTACATTTGGTGCTTCGTCTTAGGGGTGGTTACTAATCCTGAGGTTTTTTCATTGCTCTATGTTTTGTCATTCCATTTATTTCATTTTTTTTATTTTCTGATTCTTCTCTGCATACCATTGTGAAAATCTACTAATTAAATTTCATTCAATGCAATATGTGTCATTCTTTTCCTATTCTGTATGCTCTCAGAGGAGGAGCCAAATTTAAGAATGCTTAGCAGTTGGGACAATCAACGGTACACGAGCTACATTTTTTACACACAGTATTTCATTTATTCTAATTTACATATCAAATAATTTACAATTGCCCTTCAGCTTGCCTAATCAGAATCTGATTTGTTGTCTTTTTCAGTAGATTGTTCCTTATAATGCCTATATTCGGGCTTCAATTCCCACATGTTTTTATGTGGTTTCTTCATGTTGTAATCACAAACTTCCTTCAATATCTCTTTTAAGTATGTCTGAAACACAATGGAGTAGAAACATTTATACTGTGGTTCTCACAACATAAGGAATGCTGAGATTAAGATGGACTTCAATCAAATTACATACCACTGGCTGTTTAGTGATTTTAACAAGGTCTTTAATATTATAGTACTGGTGCTTTTCAAATGCAGCAAACATCATTTCCATGACAGCATCCTTATCATCTCTTGCCTTTTTCCCTTCTGCTTTCTTTCTCTCTTCATACTCAATCTGCAATATTAATTAATTTAATAATAACTTGAACTTTGATAAACTATTAAGAGAAATTTAGATTAATACATAGTACATCACTTACATTGTGTTTGTGATTCGCAACAGGCTTGTAGTTCTGAACTATCCTATCAAGCTGCTGAACTTTCCTTACAGGCTGAGCTGCCTTTCTAAAGGTTTCTGCCTTCAAACGCATGTACCCTTTATCAGCTGAGGAAAACAATGAAAATTTTAAGAACAAAGCACTTTGCAATGAGTTCGCATTTCTGTACAAACGAAAAATAGTGTTAGAGCTTACCATACGGACGACATTCCAACTTTTGCTGAATCTTCCCTTCAAAACATAACTTTTCTGAGTCTGGGACCACTGAGTCCAAATTTGCTGCTAGAAGTGCAAGAAAATCATTAATTTAATAACAATTACTGTTCAATACTTATACCGCTGATTAGATACTTACGAGAGGAGTGAGAAAAAACACCAAGAGTTTGCCTCTCAACAATCTGCACATCTAATCGATGGTCTTTGGGGATAGTTGACTGCCCTGGATCCTGGGCTATCAGAAAATCTGACAAGGCAAGGGTAACAACTGCTTTCTGACCAGGATTTCTATAAAATATATTTAAATGAGTACTGTGTGAAGAAAATATATATTTTTTATGAATGTCAAATGCTGACTACCTTGTGATTCTGAGCTTCCCAACTTCTACATTTCCTGCAGCTTTTTCCCACTTTTGATTGATATACTTCGGAACCTGAAAATGGAGTAAATTATACGTATTTGATTATCAATTATACATAATTGATTGATTTATTTCAAAACAAATTTTTGCTGTTATTTATTGTACCTTTACCAACCAAACTCCTCGCGCTGCATTGGAGATATCCAATTCTTTGTCTGTTTGGGATGGTGTTGATACTGTCGACGACATGTTCTGAAACAGTAAACAAATAAAAAATAATTTAATAGATTATTATTCAAAGAAAATGATCAGTTTTAGTTAGGTTACAAAGGACATAAATCTTTATTTTCAATAGATACAATTTTTTGTTAGAGGTAACATTCATGCTGACAGGTATGTTGGTCTAATTTCTTTTTTTTAAATATTCACAAGCTTAATGCATCACAAACTTATGTAGTACAAAATATATTGAAAATGCTAATGGATACACAAAGTTTTTACTCAGTGCATTGTAATGCTGTCTTAAACAAATCAATTGTGTACTGAGAAAATTATCACACACACACACACACACACATTGAGATTTTTAAAAGAGGAAAAGAAGTCTCCTTTTTTTAAAACGGCAAAGTAAAGTATCTTTGTTTTCTATTTCCCTCTCTTTGAGCTTTGCGGGCGAATGGCTTCCTCTTTGTTTTGTTTTCAATATTTTCCCCGGCCCATGTGATCACTCATATCTCTTTTCCGGTTGTGTGGGAAAGTTACATTTCTACATTTCTGACACTTTGCAACAGTTCAATGAAATTGTAAGTGTTTGAAATTTTGGAATAGGTCTTTTAATTTTCAGCAAACTAGCTTCCAACAAAAAGTCGGTTTTCGCCGCAAGTTTTCGTTTGATGACTAGCGCGAAGACGTTGGTACCCCTGAACCCTCGCCACAACAAATCCTACACCTTGCGACAGTTGGCCGCACTTCCATCCAGTCCCATCTTCCGTTCTTTCCACAGCAGGTCAAAATGGGTGAGTATCGTTGAATTCACATTATCCTGTTCCATCCGAAATTTAATGTGAGGAAGTCGCAATTTTGTATCAGTGGACTCTTAAAGTGCATAATTATTTACGCCGCACAAATACTATTCGTATGTTTGGAGCTTTTCTTGGTCCAGAATTCTACAGGCGACGTGTCGTGGCACTTAGGTTATGCGCTTGTGCATGTGGTTTAGCTCAGCATTTCAAGTCGCCTGTTCAAATCGTGTGTTCGCCAGAGAATGGCGCCTGTTTCGTATGATTTGGCTCAGTTTGCGTGTCGATTGCCCGATCGTTTCGTTCAATTCCACCGGGTATTGACTGCGAGCGGTGTTTACAGCCATCAGCCGGGTTTAACCTAGCTGTTGTTGTTGTTAGGCGAAAATTTCGATGTCTTCAGCTTCTGGCCGTGTGGTCTTCTAACTTTGAGAGGTTGCCTCTGCGCTCTGTTTCTGTTCATGTTTTCTCCGTGGCTTGTGAACTTAATGTCGGTTTGCTCGTACTAGCTCAGGTTAGGGTTGCCTTGTGTCGGTGTCGTTGCTCCTCTTAACGTTCGTGTGTTATACTTGCGCGTGGACAGTTTCTCGGACTCCACTCATCCTCGGTTTATTTTTTGCCCTCAGGTATCTCCCGGGACCACTGGCATAAGAGGCGGGCCACCGGAGGTAAGAGGAAACCTCTGCGTAAGAAGAGGAAGTTCGAGCTCGGCCGCCCAGCAGCCAACACAAAGGTTTGTTACTCAGTCACCTGGCCGTTCAATACGGGTTTTCTTTACATCTTTGCTATTGCTTGAGGACATCCTTTGTGACCACAACACTCCTGGATTATGGCTAGGCCTCAGTATCCTGACTGAGACTTAGTGGTAAATGATGATAATTTGCATAGCTTCCTGACTATCTGTGGAGGAGCTTTCACCTCTAACGTTCTGAGCTTTACCCTATAAATCAGAAGTGTTGTTGTCCCAGTAAATGATGACATTTTGCATTGCTCCCTGACTTTCTGTGGAGGAGCCAAATCACTTCTAACGTTCTGAGGAGTATGTCCTTGAGTGTATGTAATTTTAACTGGTATGTGATGATATTTTGCATTGCTCCCTGACTATCTGTGGAGGAGCTATCACCTCTAACGTTCTGAGTTTAGTTGGCGATAGATCTGTCACTCTTATTTCTGTTAGCCAAGAAGATAATGAGTACTTTTTGTTTTAGCTTGGTGCCCGCCGTATTCACACTGTCCGTACCCGTGGTGGTAACAAGAAATTCCGTGCTCTCCGTTTGGACCAGGGCAATTTCTCATGGGGTTCTGAATGTAAGTTGTAACCTCAGTCACTCAAATCTTAGCAGCGAATGATGATTCTATTTCCTTACCTACTCTGAGACTTGATGAATACATATATCTGACAGCTGCGATCAAACCTTATGCTTTCACTGATTTTTAGCATAAAGTGGGTTGTTAATCTTTTCATTCATTTGCACAGGCTGCACCCGCAAAACCCGTCTTATTGATGTAGTCTACAATGCATCCAACAACGAGTTGGTGAGAACAAAGACTCTTGTAAAGAACGCCATCGTCGTTATTGATGCTACACCTTTCAGGCAGTGGTATGAGGCACACTATGCCATTCCCATTGGTCGCAAGAAGGGAGCCAAGCTGGTAAGTTCCTACATATCACATCTAATGTTTTTAAACACTCAAGTCCTTTTCCCACCCTCCTATGATGACTCTCATGCGTGTCATCTGATCTCAAGATGATAGATTGTTTTCTCTGAAAAAGGAGTAACATGTGGGCTTTAGCGTCTCTCTAGATTGAAATGTTATTTTCTCTATTGAGCAGATGGGTATTCATTTGCATGTGATGAGAATCCATGCGCGTCATCTGAAAATGTGATGAATGCATGTATTTCCCTGATGCTGTTTCAAACTGACCTTTTTTATTGATTGTTGAAATGCATAACTAGTCTTTAAATGATGATAATCCATGCGCGTCATCTGAAACCTTGATGAATGCATGTACATTCCTGATAATGACCGTATTTTCAATTGTTTATCTGGGTATCTAACTACATATGATGATAATCCATGCGCGTCATCTGAAACCTTGATGAATGCATGTTTTCCTGATGTTCTCTCTATGACTATTCTGGGTGTGAACATTTACATGATGATAATCCATGCGCGTCATCTGAATCTATGATGAATGCATGTGTTTTCCTGATTACATTTACATACTGTGGTTTTCCCTTCAATTTGTGCTATGATGATAGTTTTGAGAGAGGCCATAATTTGGTGTCAAGTTGTTTTGACTTGTCTCCTTGGTTCAATGATACTCTTGTCATAGTTACTCTGAGCACTTAGCTTGTTATGCCTTTGACAGCAAACTAAAAGTTCAAACAAGAGTAACCATATGTCTTATTTTTCTCAGACTGACGCCGATGAAGCTCTCCTCAACAAGAAGAGATCTAAGAAGGTTGAGAATAAGTACAAGAACAGACAAAGGGTGGCCAAGGTTGAGCCAGCTTTGGAAGAGCAGTTCCAGACCACCCGCCTGCTTGGTAAGCATTGCTTTTTCACACCCTCTATTTTCTTGCACAAGGATGAAAGATATGAGGGAGACCATCTTAGTGGTGAATTGTTTTAGTTCACCTCTGGTCATTGATACTCTTGTCATAGTTACTCTGAGTGCTCTTTCCTCATTTCTCACATTATCAAGTTCCTACTGATTTCCTTACCGCCAATTTCTCTTTCAGCCTGTGTTTCAAGTCGACCTGGCCAGTGCGGAAGGGCTGACGGATACATCCTTGAAGGCAAAGAGCTAGAGTTTTACATGAGGAAGATCAAGGCCAAGAAGGGCAAGTAAACTGTAAACTGACATTTACTAAGGTGTAATTTTACATTTTAGGTGAATAAATGTCCAAAAAAAATTAGCCATTTGTTTCCTTTTTCTCTGTATACAACATTCCTTTAAAGACCAAATCTCACACAAGCATTACATATTCCCTTCACTCAAGCACACTTACAGAATAACTTTGGCCAGCTTCAATTAGCATTGTTGGATATTTTTAAGCTTCACTGTATTCTTCAGCTTATCAGTTCCCTCAATCTAGATCAAAGTGAGGTAAAATCCAATCAAACTAGGGTTTGCTCCCGAGAATTCAATCACTAAACCTTGGAGGTGATCATTTCAAAGTTTTAGAAATTTTTATTCATGGTTCAGAGCTTACATACATTTTTACAACTGGTCTTTCTGTAACATTTCCTTGCTCACTCAAAATATTCATTTGGTTGAAGTGTCGCCTAGTCTTCTGAAATACTTGCATCCATTAAGCTCTCAATACATTTATAACAGCTACGTTTAAAACGAGGGTATTATTTGATGTTCACACTTGGCACTAACACCACTAAACCTAATGGTCCGTACTTATGCTGTCATGACGAAAGTCACTTTTTCCAGTAGCTCCCCTACCTTTTCCTCCCCAATCTCGACTTACGAAAGAGTTCACAAAATCAAAAATGTTTATGGCCGCTGGCAGTGCCAATGAACTCACACGGAATCACTTGGTGTCTACTCTACGGGGCGGGCACAGTTAAACAGAGATGGGGTCCTGCAGCACGGTGGGCAGGACCGGCTCCCCGACGCTCAGCTTGTTGGCGCGCTGCGAGAAGGACTTGCTCCTCCGCGGCTTGGGCGACGTGAAGATGGAGGGCGCGCGGTAGCGCTGCTGGTCCGAGGCCGACAGGGGGAAGTGGGCGATCTGGGGGCAGGAGGGGCAGTCGCCCATGGAGAGCGGCTGCAGCTGCTGGGGCGCTGCTGCTGGCATTGCTGGCATTGCCGGGGGCGGGTGCGGCGGAGGCAGCACGGGGTTGGCCAGGACGCGGGCTGCCTGCGGGGGCGGCTCCCCCGACGAGCTCGACCTGCTCTCGTCCGCTGAAAAAGCAAAGCAGCGTCACTCAGCCGTCCAGATATTCCAAAAGCACTTCACATGTTCCAAAAATATTCCAGATATTTTATGCACACCAAAAATCTGAGTGAGTGGTCGACCCCTCGGTTCTCCTAACACTACGCTGCTCACCTCGAGTGCCCGCGCTCCTCAGAGGCCCCACGGGTGGCGGGCTGTCCTGGACCGACTCTCGCAGGCTGCTCGTCGAGCACACCGACTCGCGCGGGTCGCGGCCGCGCGCGCCGCGCCTGAAGTCCACCATCATGACGGGTACGTCCTCCTCCTCGACGCACTCCTCGCTCGACAGGCTCCCCTGCGGACACAAAAGGAGACGTTGTGAGGTGAGGGAGAGGGCCAAAAGGAAAGGTGCCCACAGTCTGACGGGTTAGGCGCCTGCGTTCGCTGCGTAGGCCAACCCGCCACGCAGCTGTGTGAAGCGCTCGGCCCGCCCTGGTGAGCGCAGGCGTCTGCCCCGGCCGGCGAGAGAACGTCCTCGCGGCCCTCGCCGCGCGGTTCACCTCGCCCGGGGCTAGCTTACTGTTGGGGACAGGGGCCGAGGGGCGCCTTTCGCTGCCCGTTGTATCGCATGGCCTGCTGCGCCAAAGCAATCCCAAACGCGGAAACCACAAACACAGTCAAAACTTGTTTGAAACAGTTTTCAAAGCGACATCAAAACGATGTTGTTGTGTCCATGTCGCGAGTCGAAATGAAGCTAACTTTTGTATCGTTATCGGTACTTTATTCATGATGCTGTGCCCCGCGAGTACTCACACTCACCCGGCGCGCCGTGGTGACCGTGGCGGTGGACGTCAGCGACGCATTGCGCCTCCAGAAGCGGCCCCTGTAACGAGACAACGCACTTAGTTATTCTCCGTCGACGGCGCCCTCGTCTTGGCACCCTTGCCGACCCTTACCCAAAGAGTACTACACTCAAATAGAAAAATAAGTATACACCGACCACAAAAATAAGAAAAACAATCCGGAAAATCAGGGGGGAAAATCAAGGAAAAATAGAAACATCCGTGCACGCTTGTATTCATAGTAGAGGAACCTTCTCCCTCACCTGCCCTGCCGCGCCTTGGCTGGGCGGCGCGACGCCCGGCCCAGCCCGATCCCCAGGCGGCCGCACGCCCGGGTGCACAGCTTGGCCAGCTCGCGCCGGAAGCGCGGGTGCGTGACGGCGTACACGTAGGGGTCCAGGCAGGAGGCCGTCTTGCAGAACAGGGCCGGCAGCATGGAGACGAGCGGGTCGGGCGGCCGGCCGGACACGGCGAGCAGCGCCACCACGGCGTACGGCGTCCACGAGATGAACCAGAGCCCCACCACCACGGCCGCCACCCAGGCCAGCCGCACCTCCGTGCGCCGCTTGTCGTGCTCGCGGCAGTGCCGGCGCGTCCGCGAAGTGTCGCTGCAGCAGGACCAAAAGGACATCTTGGCGTTAGTTGCGTTTCGGGGAGAAGAATAGCTCAGGGCCAAGCGGGAACGTTTATATGTTTATGTTCTACCCGCTTTTATATTTCTGCCGTCCGGGAAGAACGCCCGTTCTCAAAATCACTCTGAAAAATTATGGGGAAGCTTGACGCCTGCGAAACTCGGGGTGGGCCAGCCCGCAGTACGCGTATGCACTGCACACAAGATGTTGCCTACCCATCAGGCGCTCCACAAGCTGAACTTGGCCGTTTCACAACGGCGAATGACGGGCAGTATGTCCGTCATTCTGGCTGGTACCTTAGCCGAAGTACGCTGTTAGGATAGAGTCAATGAATCAATGTTGAAATGTGAGGAGGGGGCGGGGGTTGATGGTCATCTCGGGGATGTAAAGTGGATTTCATTAAGATCTTCTTCTTCGCATTATAAACTAAACTCCTTTGAAAGGAGGATAGTTCAAACGTTTTCATTCGTGGGGAATTTAATGTTCGTAAAGGCACTAACTCACTTCGGCGCGGGGGCGGGAGTTCGCTCGTGCCCATATTATAAGTCCCCAGGGCGTTCTGGGGCCCACGCTTTTCTGAGAATAAGAAAGAGATGAGCAGAGAGAGAGAGAGAGGGAGAGAGAGAGAGCGTCTTCCACTTGACGCGACGCTGGAAGAGGCGAAAGGGGAAAGGGATATCGTGTTGACGCCCACCGGTATCACCGTCCCGAGCGCTCTTGGAGGAGGAGGAGAAGGGGATTTGGGGGGGGGGGGTCTGCTCCCATTATTATTAATCAACTGGGTGCGTCCCGACCCGCGGCGGCGCTACGTGCCAGCCACTTGCGCTATACGAGGAAGACTGCTATCAACTGCCTGTCACTTATAATTCTTTGTCCATTCTTTGGGCGGGAAAAGCGTGGAAAGTCTGAAGTTCTTGCAGTCGCGCTTGTTTGGAGAGTTGTTTGGGCGCCCGCGGGGCGTTCGTCGTGGGTGGTGGGGGAGCGATCCCCTTTGAAGAATGGGTTAGCAGCGTCGTCGCCAGCCTACCAGTAAATAATAGGTGTCTAAAAAGAGGATTTTTTCATATATTTTTTTTTACACAAAATGAAAACAAGGTGTGCACGCGGTTTTCGCGCGGCCCTTGTTTGGCTCCCGTGGCCTCAACAGGCTGGGGTGCTGAAGAGAGGTCTGGAGGGGCGGCGGGCGGTATTGTCGTGTCGCGGATGGGTATCTCGAGCCTCGAGCGGCAGCGAAGCCAGCGAAGCACAGCGAAGCTGACCAGGCAAACAGAGGCCATTGTCAATGGAATTCCTGAGCAGGCAAAGCTCTTTGCCGTACCTGGCCTGGGCCCGAGTGCGATGAGGTACAACGGCACCCGGCGCCGCCCCGCCGCGCCCGCGACAACTGGGCGCCAGGAGAGGGGTGGGAGCAAAAGTAGTAGTACGAGGGGAGCGAGTGTCGGAGCAGAGGGGATCCAGCGTGACAAAGTGCGAGAGAGGAAAAGAGGACCCCTAGAGGAAGAGAGAGAGCACAACGTCGGGCCCCAAGCACTTTATTACTCCCGCATTCCTAGGAGGGAGGGTGCCCCTTGGGTACCCGGTCGGTACCCCGGCCCCGGCGGCCCCCAGGGTGGTGGTGGTCGCACCCCCCTTACCCTAAGCCGGAGCCGTGCCGACCCCGCTGCTCACCTGATCTCGCCGGCCTGCCCGCGCTGCGTGGCTCGCTCCACGATCCGGTAGATGCCAAAGTAGCTGAGCGTGATGATGCAGAACGGCACGACCCAGGCCGCGAAGAAGAAGCACACGATGAACGTCCGGTTGCGCCAGTCCTGTGCGAAGCAGCCGAGCCGGCGGGGTGAGATCGAGTCAGGCAGTCAGAAAATTGCATCAACGGGATGTCAGTGCGACCCGATCGGTTCATAATATAATCATGTTGGGGTCCTTTTTTGACGCGGGCGCAGCACCTCTCACAGTTTTTGTTTAAATATTAAAGACATTGTTTTAAATTGAAACCGGCTTCTTTAATTTGGAAAACAGTTTGTTTGGGTCAGATTAATTTTCTTTTCAAAATTATCCTTGAATCAAAAATATGTGTCTTTAAAATTAAAGAAAGATGTTCCTCAACTTTCAGAAAAGTTTTGAATCAAATAAGCATTTCTCTAAATTAAAACAGGTTGTTTTGATTCAAGGAGATTTCTCTCATAAAATTTAGTTTGTTTTGACACAGCCTGCTTTGTTGTTTCAAAGAGGTGCTGGGGGTGGTTGCTCACCGAGTTGAGGTAGTCGAAGCTGGAGCTGGTGAGCAGCCCCTCGGGCGTGTAGCGGCTGAGCCCGAGCAGCGGGCAGGAGGCGAGCACGCCGCCGTACACCCACGTCACGAGCACGCACAGGCGCGCGCGCAGCCGCGAGATGCGCCGCCCGGGGTCCAGCGGCTGCACGATCACGTGGTAGCGGTCCAGCGCGATGGCCGCCAGGTTGGCGATGCTCACGGCGCCCGTCAGCCCGCCGAGGAAGCCGTAGACGTCGTTGCCTGGCAGGAGAGGAGAGGACTGGTGAGCACAAAGCCACAAGCCTTGGGGAGCACAAGCCTCGGCGAGCACGAGCCTCGGCGAGCACGAGCCTTCGAGCCTTGGCGAGCACAGATGAGCGCAATCCTTGGCGAGCACGAGCCTTTGGCGAGCACGAGCCTTGGTGAGCCTGGGGCCTGGCCTGGCCTGGCTTGGCCTCCGCGTCAAGCCGAGCTCCCTGTGGGTGGCCAGACCCGCCCGGCAGCGCTGCACCGCGGCACAGCATCCGAAAGTGCTCGGGGGCTCCATCTCCCGCGCCGCACGCCCGCGCTCCGATGTGACGAGCTAAGCCGCGCTCAGTGCGAGCCAATGGGCACAGCCGGGGGGCGGGCGGACCATGATGGCCAAGAGGAGAAGCGTCAGGCAGCTGGGTATTGTTTAGGCGAGTGGGCGCTCCGGCCGGCCCACTGGACTTGCGGAGAGAGGGGGGGGGATGGGGTGAATTTTCAATCGCAGCCTGCGATCTCTCCATCATAATAGGCAGACGCTCGGTCGCGTTGGTGCGAGGGGCGGCGGGGAGCGGGCCAGCCGGACGGTGGGGAGCGGCGGGCGCGATAGAGAGCGCTGCCGATGCTATCGCACGGCGCTGCCCTCCTATTCCACGTCGCCGTAAACCGAGCGGTAAAGTTTGTTTTTCGCGCGCCAGCAGACTCTTATAGAAGTATTGTGGAGGACCCCACCGAAGGCCGTTTGGGCGACACGGTTGGGCCGGACCTTCGCGACCTCCCTCCTGGCCACTACTGCCCACTCGCGGGAGGCGCCCCCTAACTTGGCCACCGCGATGGCTGTACACTGGGAAAACAAAGGTGCTAACTCCTACCTTAAGGGGCACTAAGGGTTTAGTGCCTTTACGAAGGCACTAAACATGCCAAAGGCACTAATTTTTAGTACCTTTTGGGCTGTTTAGTGCCCTTTCTCAGGCACTAAACTAGAAAATGTCTTTAGTCACCCAGGAAAGGCACGACTTTGCACCTTTTAGTGCTGTGCGAATGTTCGAAATCGAATCGAATCGGGCCCGATTCGATTCGAGTCGAAGCCGAGTCACAACGATTCGACCCCGAAAGGTTCGAAATTTCGAATCGGTCACGATTCGCCACCGAATCTTCCTGGTTAAGTATGCATCTTTCAAAAATGGTTAAGTATGCATCTTTCAAAAAGGGCGCACGAGCCGCGTGAGAGCGCCCTGGCAATGGGGCGTAAGTTTTTCACGCGAAGCTCTGCATACGAAGCACAGACATGACGGTCCTCTTTTTTTACCGCGAACCTTAAAGAAAGGGGGGAGGGAGCAAAATTCGATTCGATTCAATTCGTTCGCGAATTTACAAAGATTCGATTCGATTCGAAATTTTTCGACCTGATTCGATTCAAAGAAAATTTGAAGAGATTCGATTCGATTCGAACCAAAAAACTTGATTCGCACAGCACTAGCACCTTTGTCTTACCAGTGTAGGGGAGCCTTGCGAAACCCCCTCCGTTTTTCTGAAGGGCAAGGCCACGGGCTATTACGTCTAGCAGTATATTGGTAGTAGTAGTACAGGTAATAATTAAAATGGGGCTCTGCGACCCGGCGCCGCATGTCGCGTAACCGACCCCCCCCCCCTCCCCCGCCTCGCAGCACGTAGTACGCCCCGTTTTCTCCGGGCGGGGCAAAGACGATAACAATTTGTCGAGCGGAGCTAATTTCAGGTATAGAAGCCCCTGGAGTGTGTGGGGGTGGTGGGGGTGGTAGGTGGTGGTTGTGGTGATGGTGGTGGTGGTGGTGGTGGGGAGCAGCGCGCGCCAGTTCCAGCAGGGACCCCGGGGCTCGCCGGGGCTCGCCGAGGCATGATGTAAGCGAAGGGCCCCGGGCCCCCCGGGCGCGCCTCGATAATGGCCCCGAGGGAGCGCTGCAGCAGGGCGGGCCGGGCCGGGGCAGGAGGCCGCATGCATGATGTGGCACCGGCCACAGCACCCCCTCTTTCCCCCCCTCCCTATACCTCTCCCCGCGAGCAGCGCCACGCCTGGGCTACGCCACTTTTCCACCCGCGCCGCAACTACTCTCCGACTCCTCTCGCTGCTGCCGCTGCTGCTGCTCTCGAGCCTTCGAGTCGATCGAGATTAGCTCCGCGCTGCTGCAGCCGGCTGCAGTTATTTCGCAGTTTGTTGCCGCAGCAGCGGTGGTGCGCCCGCACTTTGCTACCCCCGGTGCGGGGGGAGGGGGCTCCGGAGAGCGACCGCCGGTGAAGACTTACGTACCTCCATACCACCGCTCTCCTCCTCCCAATTATCCGCCCGCCCGTCTCGAGTGAACCTCCCTTACGCGTTTAACCCTAACTTACAGCGGGTACTTTGTTACTCCACTTACTTATCCATTACCATAATCTTCCCCCTCCCGTCGTCCCTGCGACCCCTGCTCGGCTGAATCTTTTCCCTCCTTCTCTTTCCAGCAAAGAGCACGGTTGCGTACCGATTTGCCCGAGAATGGGTCCGAAGTACATGCTGTTGTAGATGAAGACGGGCATCTTGGCGAGGAGGAAGAAGTCTGAGATGGCGAGGTTCGCGATGAGGATGTTGGCCGGTGATCGTAGCGAACGGCATCTGCGCAAAAGAAAAACAAACGAAGCTCATAAATTTTCGTCACTGTGGAACCAGAGGCGGGCAAAAAAGATACGTCAGTCAGCGCAAAAGTTATTGGGTAGCTTTGGGTGCTGCGTTGTGCTATGCCGGAGCCAGGGTGCTTCGGAAGCAGAAAGATCCTCGTACTCGTATCATTCACATTCAGATCTTCGATATATATGTAAGCTAGATGGGCCATTCGTCTTTCTTCTGATCGAAGTGAGGAGCCTGATTTCTCCACAACGCACTGCTCGTCGACGAAAAAGAACAAAAACAAATGATATGAAATTATTGCGAAGGGGCCGCGTGTCATATTCCTTTTTTTGTGAGGCGGAGCCGCGTTGGGTATGAAGGACGAGGAGTTATGTAACAGGGACCATTCCTGCACGAGGGAAACGCCGCCATAGTCTGCAGAGGGCGACCACACGAAAATGTGCGCGAATTACAACTGAAATTCCTTCCCTGCTGGCTGAATCCGCGGCGACGCCCCCCGCCCCCTTACAGCGCGGTCTCCCCCTCTCTCTCTCTCCCCCTCCCTC